CCCCCCTATATCAAGCTGAAAACTTTTTTTTACTTAAATCCACAGCTGTGTATGTCAGCAAAATTTCGCCCTCAAAATGCAGAGAATAGCGTTTCAGAGGGTCTAGATTTCAAATGTTTGTCCTTCCTAATAAAGTAGGGACAGTGTACAGGTCTCGTCCCATGAAAAATACTGTGCCGCTGCCTCTGTGACGAGTGTATCTCACGAATTGACTAACTAGGGTAGCATGGCAATCGCGATCATATACTAAGCACTAGTTCTATGCTTTGTTAAGGAATGTTATTAAGTAGTGTGTCCTGCTTTCTGATGGGACTGGGTGATTACACACAGTTCGATGATTTCAAGCGTGCGACAAAACCATGCGATGATTTATGCTGGGCGTGGCGCGGACAACACATATTCTGATGAATAATACTGTGGGTGTGGCACTTTTACCTTGATAACGCAAACAATACATACACGCGGTTTTTTTTTTTTTTTTATCACGTTCACCATTTTTTTAATATATTTATTTACTTGAATATTTTCGACTTTGCCACGAATGGAAGTAGCTCCGAAATCTTTAAATTATTGGCATTAATGTTGTGACAATAAACGAATGCCTCGGAATGCCGCGATACGAGACATTCCATTGTGTAGGCAAGGCATTTCAAATGTCGCCAGTTTTATGTTGCTTTGGTGTATAATAAAACATCAAAACCTCATTTCGGAACGTTTATACCTCCCCCTCAATCACCGATGATTTAAAGTCGAACGATAAATCAAGAGGGAGTCCGGGACAGGTTCACGAGAGTGCAATATAAATAAGAACGGTGCACATCACGTATTAGCGGTATCTCATCATACTAGTATTATTAAAGCGCAGACACTCACACACATGAACAATGGACAAGTATAATACGTAATGAAGTGGTCACGGACAAGACGAGACACTGAGTTGATGGCGTATTTTCTTAAATGCGTTTACGCGAGATTAGATTAGATTAAATTGGATAAGATTAAATTAAATTAGATAAGTTAAAGTGTGATGTGGAAGATAGTGACATTCATTACAGATACATGGCAAAACATCCTTAACAACGCGACTGTGGAAGATGGAAACATTATCCTCATTTGCATATAGGGATCGACCAGTTGAAATTATGAGGGGTGGCTAGAAGATTCGTTAAAAAAAAGAAAAAAAAAAGATTGCAAGCTACACAACAAGAAAAACAAATTGCAAGCCAGGTGCTACAAGAAAAAAAGATACTGGTCAAACTCTTCCAATCACCTCTTGATTTCAAATGTTTGACCCCTTACGTCAACTGACGTTCAAGGTTGTGATGCTAATTGGATTTATTCCAGCAATTAAAGCCAACAACAAAAATCTCGTCACTGAAAAGGGGTGTCAGCCAGTCGGTCAACGAACTCGGCAGCTCCTTTCAAATTAGCATTAATTATGTAACCCATAAAACGCGGGTAGTGCTGTGAGTTGCGTAATACGTCTTGATTGTTTGCATACTTTCACATGCACAATACGTGGAAATGTGTCGATGTTCCAGGTATTCGTACAGCAAGATTCATCGTTTTGTTTCAGAATGTCCTTCCTCGTTTCCTAGCAACAAAATTAGATTACGGGTGACGTTGGCTATAGCCAAGGGATCACCAAACAGGCGGCATTCATCGTCGTTCATTAACCCCTGTTGATCCCAGTTACGGTCATTTCTTGTTTTCCTAAAAATACATTATTAACGCGTACTTGATTACCCCACTTTAATAAAATAATCAAACACTTTAAATAATGGCGATAATATACAAATAAGCACGGTATAACAGTAATCTGAAGGCAGGCAAAAGGGGCAGAATGTTGGGATGCAGACGATTTGTTTTATCCACGGACGTAGGACACACGTTGGGTATATCCTCGTCTCCAGGATCCTAGTACACCCACGTAACTCTCGTTAATGGACCGGTGCATAATAAGGAACTTTTAACAATTCTTAATTTCGGATAGCCTTTTTTTTTAGTTGGAATCCTGTATATGCTAGGATCATAGCGGTCAGTCACCTGTATCGTTCCTACCTACCAGCAAGAACGTCTCAGCCTATGACGTAGTTATGTGGGCTGGCCTACTACATGGTAATGAGACCGGGCACCGTCCGGAATACCAATCACTCCCTGTCGCTGTCATTGTAGCAAAACAAAACAACTTCCGGTTGCCGCGTCTTCGACACTGCCCACAAAATGAGTTACTAACCAACCGAGAGCGAGTGGGACGATCCAATCCTATGCCCCCATTCACAAATATCGCCCGGTGGCATTGGTATTTTACATATCATTATGTCCGATGATATAAAAAGAACGCGAACATGAATAAAGTGACAGATACACGCGTCTTCCTCACTCAGCGAGTCAGAGTAGCGCCGGTCAGGATTTCCGATACAGCATTCACCGTTAACTCGTCCTTTGCGACAACGCGGTAAGGCACCGTCTTTTATCTACTATTCATACAACGTATAGTACATCTTTCCTAACTTCATGATCAATTCTGATTCGTCATTGACTCATTTATTCCCATAATATAAAAATATCTTATCGAAGTGCCGGTTTAACGGCATCAGCCTGAGCTATGGAAAAAAAAACGTTTTTGCTACACATTGCATATTTTTAAAAACAAATACTAGTATATCAGTCGTTCGAAGTCTAACTTTGTTGGCAACTTTCCACAAATCTCAATGTGTCCGTTCAATGAAATGTACTGTTTTTAAAATTTTAAAAAGTCGGAGTTTTATCCTATTCTCCTATAAGTATTTTCTCGCCTTAGTGTTGCGTAATTGCTCACGCAATCGCTGTTCGCTTTACGTCATTGTTCTGTGTAAAAATAATCATCCCGTTGTTGCCATGACAATTGTATCCTCCTTCGCGGCGACATCAAGCGTTTCGATATTGGCGTGCTCGCGTACTCCAGCCAATGAGTTAGCGGTATAGACATACTTTACAATGACCTTAATGCCTGGTAGTGATCCTATTGGATAGTTTTTTGACCTTCGTCACCGCTTTTAATGAACTTAGACGAGCTGCTCAAAGACGGATAAAATCTTGTAAATCTGCTATTAGGAGTTTATCAGCAGTAGGAAAACACTTTCATCGTATCCCAAATATTCAATCCCAATTTCTGTTATTTGCAGACCTTATACTGAAGATGTTCAGTTTACGTCAAGTTAAACTGATCAGCGAGTGCGCCCGCTTTCAGCAGCAAGCTATGTTTATAGCTTCTCGCTGCGCCATGGCAACCAGTGCAGCGCTGGATATATCAGATGATGACAACATTATCAGTGAGGAAATGGTAGTAAAAAAATTCGAAGATATTCCTGGTCCAAGAGGGTTGCCCTTTATCGGATCTCTTCTGGATTACACTATAGGTAATGACATGTTTTTTTTTCGGATTGTCGGTAATAATCATCCCGTCTGAAAACACGCATTTTTTAATGAAATACAGTAAAACATAGCAAAATCGACCCGGGATTAATCAACTGATTTATTTTGGCGCCGACAATTCTCAATAGATGCTCATGCTAAAACAACTCGTGAAATACGACCACTGTCTACTCCGAACACCGACCGGTCAAATACGAGTATTCGCTCTGAATATATCGACGAACCAACCGACCAGTTGCATCATATCCGTTGTCTTGTCATATCCATCTACCCGCCCTAAGAAGTGAACACCGCAAATATTTTACCAAATCTCACACCAACAAGGGATGACGAGCTCTTGCTTGTAGTACGTCATATGTAAAACAATAGCTGACTGAGTTTTTGACACCACTCGCCCACGCATGCATCTTGTGGTGTCTCGGCAGTAAGCAAAAATGTGATGTCTCGGCCGGGCAGTATTATTGCTTAGGTTTACACGGCAGCATTTTATCGGAGCTAAACTATTGCTCCCATCAATTAACACCGATGGCAACAGACGTGTACTATGTGGTTGATGATTTTCAGCAACGAACTGACGAGTTATGTGACGGCTATAGTCCCGAAAACATTTTTAACACTGGCGAGACCGGCGTTTATTTCAGAACGTTACTTTTGCAATATTATATATATTATTTTATTATTATTATAATATAATTTATCTTATTATTATTTATTTATTTCCAGTCTCGTCTCGCTTTATCGTAGTTATAATCTTTTTTGCACAGGTCCTTATCAGCTCGACAAATTACATCTAGCTGCAATCGAACGGTTCCGAGAATACGGTCCGATATTTAAGGAAACCATCGGTGAAAATACATTCATCAACATCATCGAAGCTTCCGATGTCGAAACGCTCTTTCGCAGCTCCGGAAAAAATCCTGCTCGTCCACCAATGGCGCCTTTACAGTACATAAGGGAGCTCCGAAAACGGAATATTGGATTGGCCAGTCTGTAAGTATCATTAGGACTGAACGTTTTGAACACACTGGGCGTGGCAATATTCTCGACCAGATTAATCATATGGCAGTAAGTGTTAGTAGATTCTACCTATCAATGGAAAAAATACCACAGTTTTCTTGTTTTGGTTTATTTCCATACATTTTCAGATTCTATCAAATATTACCACTTTTGCTGAAATAATGGACAACCCCTTATTACGTAACTGGTCCGACCCTTTAAATGGAACTCTTCTTTTGTTATTTTAACTCTGATGTCACGTTTTTTTCTCTTTCAAGGCAAGGTGAAGAGTGGGCCAGAGTACGAAAACCAGTTCAACAAGTTATGCTGAAACCCAAAAATGTACAGTCGTATATACCCATAGTAGACGAAGTGACAACCGAATTCACGGAATCGATAAAAAGGCTACGACGGGAAGATGGCGAAGTGGATAACTATCAAAACGAAGTCTATAAATGGGCTTTAGAATGTAAGCATGTTCAAAAAAACGTTGAATACGTAATCATAATTGTCTTTACTTAGTCAAAAATACATTTATCATTATCATCAATTTACAACAGGTTTTAACTTCTCTTTTGCAGGTGTCGGTACACTGGCTCTGGGAACGAGGCTCGGGTGTATGGAAAGGAACATCCAGAGCGGTTCTGATACTCAGAAAATGATAACAGCTACTCTGGGTTTCTTTGATACAATGCGGGATCTGACATTCTCCATGCCTCTATATAAATTTGGGATATACAACAAAACTTGGAAGCAGTTTGAAAAACACCACGAGACTTTTTACAAGTAAGTCTTTTTTAAAACAATTCAACATATTCGAGAAAAAGTCTTTTCATTTTAAAACAATTTCACATATTCGAGAAAAAGTAACAATTTTATTAATATACCATTTCCCGTTCATTGCGAGATATCGTGTTTTGCGTGAATCGAACGTCAAAACAGGGCAAACAAAGTCAATAGCGTTTTAGTGCCGTCAATCTCACGTGGAATTCAACAAACGCGAAAGTATTTGGTGGTATTTCCACGCTTAATAATGTGATATGCACATTTGTTGATGGTCAATTTTGATGAAGTAAGGGTAACTAAACACAATATTCCCCTCTCAAAGATCGGTCTTTCGACATTGAGCCATAAAAAGAAAAGAAAAAACGTTCGGTCCGCGCATTCCTCGCAACACACGAGATCTCTTACGTGAACGGAAAATCACCTATTGTGGGATTTTCTGTTGGCTTCTAATTGTACTATTGTATGCATCTACAGAATAGCCGAAAAACATATAAAAAAAGCATTGGACAAACTTAAACGGCTATCAAGGGAAGGACGTCTGGAAGAAGAGAGCAAAGAGTGTTCACTTTTGTCTTATTTATTATCCAAAAAGAGTCTTAGTTCAGAAGAGATTGCCATGGTACCCGTTGACATCATGCAAGGTGGCGTTGACACGGTAAGTGTAGTAAAGTAGAGGGCGCTATAACGGAATAATCACTGCTTTATTGAACGGCGTTATTCCCATAAGTTACTTCATGCGAAAACTGACATTGTCTGTAATTAGTTATTTACTGATTTATCAATCTTTTTTTTTTCTTTCAGACATCACATACAGCTATTTTCATCATGTATCAACTAGCCACAAATCCCGATGCACAGGAAAAACTTCACCAAGAGGTTGACAGCGTACTGGCGAACAGCCAAGAAATGACGCTGGAATCCCTGCAGAATATACCTTACTTGAAGGCGTGCGTCAAAGAGACACATCGCATGATGCCGACCATTGACGGTACAACGAGAATTCCCGATAAAGATATCGTGTTATCTGGATTTCACATCCCAGCAAAGGTATAACAATGTTATTGTCACGCGCGTGTCTGACACGTGCTTTATCGTCAAACTGATGGAGAGGGCAGGCTTCTATGGGTGAACTTTTTCTTTGCTAAGATGGGAAATACATTGTAGGGGAAAATATATCAAAAACAAATCTGCATGTTGAATTGCATAGAATCTAGGCGCATGCCTATTCGAATGAAATAAACATTACGTTGCCCAGCACGAACATGAAGAATTACACCTACCACTAGAAAACAATCAATGCAGACACACAAGCAATTGTTTGTTGACAATGATATTCACGATGTTCTGACTTTTTGCTCTTTCGTTTACAGACTGTCGTTCGAACGCACTGCATTGCGGGTCTTATGCACGAATACTTTGACGAACCTCACGTGTTTAAGCCAGAACGATGGCTGAGGGTCTCCAGTGAAGAAATCGACCACCATCTACTGCTGCCATACGGCGGTGGCACCCGGATGTGCATTGGACGTAGATTCGCTGAGCAAGAACTACACATCTTAATAGCAAAGGTATGATTAGAAAAAAATCAGTCGCCTAGACAGAAAATGTTTTGCGATGCGTTTTTATAAATTGTAATTTATCAATGACACTCTGCATAGTGATTGTAATGGATTTCACTCGACGTATTACAACGCCTGTAAAATTCGAACGTCGGCACTACTGTGGTTCGTTGAGACAAATGTAAAATAAGGATTTTTTTCTTCTGTTCTTTTCAATACTTTCATCTTTCAAATCGATTTTTTTGTACATTACGACTTATTTTATTTACATTGCGATGATGTTTATTGGTTTTTGACATTTAAAAATTCAATTATTTGGAAAATCTTCAGCGACATATCCACCCTCACTTCCCCTCCACTGTACATATTACTAGTAATTACACAGTTGGATAAACCATTTATAATTCCAGCACAAATAATTTAAATGTTTATCCCCCGTTTTATTTTAGCTCATCAAAAACTTCCGCATCGAATGGCACCATGGTCCTATGCAGCAACTCTTTAGACTTGCCAACGCGCCGGATGTTCCCGCTCAGTTCAAATTTGTTGACAGAGAACAGTAACCTGTTGTGTGGTTCCAACTACATACTGTAAATAATAAACTGACGCAGGTAAAATTGTGAGCATTCCAGTTGATTCTTGGACCCGTCGTCGACGCACAACTATACTACCTCGAGACCGTGGACTTGTGTTGGGACAATCATGAGGCCGCGGACGTTCTTGTGGGGTGTATAATATGATGGTACTTGACTGGTCTTGCTAATTACATGTACCCTTAACGCCGTGTATGTTATTGTATTTATTAAACTGGATGTGCAAAAATCAGCTGAACCTCATGTTTGGTTGGACTGTGTACCTGAGCATGACGCCCGATACGCACACGTATTGGTAGCACAGCCAGCCATTGAGCTCGCTCTAAATGCCAAATTAGACGGTAATTTCCATCAGGAAAAAAATATTTAATAGTTTCTGTATTAATTTTCACCGTGAATGTATCGCTATTTGTATCTTTTGGATACGATAACGGGTAGATACTTTGCACACTATCTTATCAAAGTGTAAGTGGGGGGGGGGGGTTTAGAAGGAGAGAGATAAGTATTTCGGTATTCCATCATGTAAATAGACGGTAATGTGTACATTTCATGTGTTCATGTCCGTAAGTTGGAACAAAATAAAACCAACGTATTATGCTTGCCATTTTGTAGAAGAGGGAAACATTAATATTGTACAGTATTACCACGAAGTTGAATTTACACTAGTTTGATATTATTTGTCTATTTCCGTTTTCAGTTATTTAGTATATGCTCCGTCATCGGCACGTGTCTTCGAAGTGCTGATATCGATAATCAACTGTCTTTAAATTTATTCTCGACATATATATGTAATATATAAATATAAATATCTACCATATAGCAACAAGAACATTCAGTGTAATATGATTTAATAATAAATATTTTATTTTATGACATGTTTCCATTCTCAGTTATAATTTTAGTCCGCCGGCCACTGTTTTTCTACTCTTAGATCTCACACACTGTCTCTAACTATTTTCACTGCTGATAAGGGGTCGACTTGCTTCTTGTAATGATAAAGTGGGGGGGGGGGGTTAATCGGAATCAAGAATTAATCTTAGTTGACGTCCATCTGTATTCGGTTTTTGGAGGATGTTTCAAAAAGTCACCATTGGATAGTAAATCGTGCTCGCCCTCTCAATGCCTGAGCGACAAAACTTGATATATCACTTCCATTACAAATAAACTAGTTTTTTGATAGACTGCTTTGACGGGTGTAGTACTATTAGTATGCTGCTTTCTTTCCTAGTTATCCCACTGTTATCGGAATGGTGGCTATAAAAAGGATGCCTGTGAATTTGCTTGATTCGATTTTTTACACATTCTTAAAGACGAAGCCGTGAAAAGCGAACACTGACGCCCAGGGCGGCGTTTAGCCCATAGCCACTGAAAAAAAAACTTGCCAAGCAAATTTTCTATTAGGATTATGTGATTTTAACTGGCCCGAGTGGGACTCTGTCGTAGCGGGCGCTATTACAGACAATACGGTCAGTATAACATAATGGCCGAAGTGGGACAAACACTATACAATGTACAAGTGCAAGTGCAAATGTGATCGCTTTCCTACTTTATTTCTTGACGATCGCTTTACATATATTTTATTTATGCAATGTTCACTATAATTCGGGTCAGCCCTCCTTCTTATTTATTGCCATTATGGTAACATAAGAGATTTGGTTCTAGCAGCGCTGAAAGCAAACGCGCATGCACTTAGTGGTAATAATCCCACACCAGGCTCTCATTCGCTCTTGGGTACAGCGAATCTACCTCAATTCTTTCTTGATGATCTCGCCTGACATTTTGTTGGACACAATGAAACCCATTATTCATTGTGAAGTTATCACCGCGTACGTACTCGTAATGCATTTCCACAAACAGCGCCACTTAGAGTCGAAACTGCCACAACATTCGTTTATGCTGCGTTTTTGTTGAAACTTGGCATGTCTGCCACTGAAAATTATTTTATATCGTGTTATTCGCATACACTAACCGCAATAACATTAATACCAGGCAACGACTGAGCGGAATGATCAAGCGTGTGTTCAACCAATAATTATATAATTTATAGCAGATCTCGTCGATGAAGACTGATTGGATATCACATTTTGGTCAAAAATTGTGAAAATAACAAATAAGTAATTTGCAAATTGTTTAAATCATAGTATTCTTATGAAATTTAGTACATATATACATTTCAAAGTTACGATTCATATAAAATTGCAACTATCGTTGAGCATACCTTTAAAAGCTATCTTTTGGGACAAAAACATCAAATTTTGGTTCAAAAAACATGAAAATAACAATAAATGATTAACAAAAGTTTAGATCGATTTAGAACATACAATCTTGCACAGGTATACACTTTTATGTGTAGATTCATATTTCATTGGCTCACTCATCTTGTAAATGACCAAAGAAGACTTATTGTTGGTGTAAAATATCACATTTTGGTCAAAAATTATGAAAATAACAAATAAATAATTTAGAAATGTTGAAATCATAGTAGACTTTTGAAATTTAGTAGATATATACATTTTCGTGTAACAATTCATATAAAATTGGAACTGTCGTTGAGATCACTTTTGAAAGCTATCTTTTAGGGCAAAAACATCAGATTTTGGTTCAAAAATATGAAAATAAAAATAAATGATTTACAAATGTTTTGATCGTTTTAAAACCATATAATCTGGCACACGTATACACTTTTAATGGTTGTATTTTAGATTCATATCCCATTCTTGTAACTGGCCCGTAAAGACTGGTGTTTAGAGTAAAATATCACATTTTGGTAAAAAATTATCAAAACAACAAATTACCTATCATAATTCAGTCTTGGTGACAATTCGGTGCATTGAAGGCTTGCTTTGTAACATTTGCAGTTACCTCTGCATGTTTGTTTGCACCCACAGTGAATCAGTTCATGACATGATTTGGATGCTTCTGGTAAGGTAGTCCATGTTGGTATCCACCTATTGTCTGGTGATTCCCAACCCCAGTTACTTAGGCTGGGAAGTTCTTGAATAGAAACAAGGGCCTGTCCCCAGACATGACCAGCCTGGTATGCAGCTCTCTTTACATGTTCTATTAGAACAGCTTGACTAGGTGGAATATTCTCTATAGATCTTCTACCTTGAGAAAACAGGGCTTGACGGGCTTTGTTGACTTGGCTATGTACAACAAAACAACAAATTGTTCAACTGATTGGAGATCTTCCTCTGATATAGTTATTGGTCTGTTAGAGAGTGCACGAAATATCGGAGTCACATTTGGATCTACATTCCATGTCTCAAATGCCATTTTCTTCCCTCTACCTGAGAAGGCAGAAACTGTGTCACACCCAGTTACAGAATGGAAGAATGGAAGTGCTTCACATTTCTCTAACCCTAATAAATTAGCTATTATGTGGACAGGAATGTATCGTTTATGTTTTCCAGTATCAAAGTCCATCCACAGTTCTTGAATGCCTAGCTTTTGAAAATGTGTTTTTACCATAATTGTTTGTTGGTCATTCTTTGCTCCATGTGATATATGGAGGAGAAGTCTGGTGTCCGCTTCCTCGTGATAGCATGGTGCAATGCAAGTAGTATCAATCGAAGTTGAACTAACAACATCTTCGTTATAAAAGATGACTACTTCCACTTCATCTATTGTATTATCAGTCACATATCTTGCCAAAAACGTGAACAGTTCAGTTTTGTTTTCATTCACGAACACCATGCCCCTTGTATCTCTTGTGCTTTGTTTTAGACTATTGGAATGTATCGATCCCATACAAGATCCAATCGCTTTACAGGTTGTGCTTCTTTTTTAATATGGGGAAGAAAAACTGATCCTGCATAATCCTCGAATGTCTTACATTTTCCTGGCAGAAGCATGTTGACTATGACAGCACCATCTACTACTTTCTTATCTACATCTGGAGGGTCAGATACTGTATTCATTTCCATACACTTAAGTAAATCTGATTTATGACCAATTCGTAGTTTTCCCTGGGAAGAGAGTCCTGGAGGGTAGGCATGGTTCTCGTTGTTTAAACAACTCTTTGATGTTTCGATCTCTGGATTGACATGCAATATGTAATCTGGAAAAAAGGTTGCAGTCATTCTTTAATGAAGCTATCTGGGTTTTCATTCTTGACCGAGTTTTCTGGGGGGCTCCAAACAAAGGCAAACTGTTCTTGGAAATTATGTCTGTGACAGGAGTTAAACACTTTTGATGTCTCTCATCCACATATTTAAGATACTGTGACTGCCCCAATTTCTCTGCACAATTGATTGACCTAACAACACTTTCAGGCATAATATCCTTGGTGTCGAGCACCAGAAGATCAGTGCTATCTTCTGTGAAAGGGTTGCCTATTTCCTCCATGACAAAGACAAGGGCGTGTGCATTTTGCACACTTGGAACCTGTTCATGGTGATGCAAATCATTTATCTTTGGCGCAAGAAAGGTAGCTTCAAACTCTTTCACAGCCTTTGCAACCTCTGGTCCTGCAATCATCCAGGGTCTTAGAGCTGCTGGGTTCTCAGTCAATCCAACAGCTAATTACTTCTTTCTATTGTTCATGATTTTGGTCTAAAGCTATTATATATGGGCATAGTTATTGTGGCCCAGTGCAAACATCCATGGAACTATCTCAGAAAGTATTTGAGCATATAAGGAAAAGTCACCCACTCTTTGTTACCTTACAAAATCCAGGAGTGTAAGCTCCAACTTTAAAGTAGTGGACCAGAATTTGAAATGAGGGTGTTTTTTAGACAGTTCCTCTGTCCACGTAGTGAAACCCAGAACTTCTGTGCCCTCAACAAAATCAGTATATGCTTTACAGGCTTTATAGGCTATACAGTGCACATGCACTGACTTGATGAGCATAGCAAGAACGTGTGACATGCGAGGCCTTCAAAATTGCATCTGCTTCCCCTGGGGTTGTGATAGCAGCTTGCACTAATGCACTTGTCCACCTACTACAATCCAACCAATGCCCAAGCATCTTCAGGGAAGTCATCTCAATGTGCAGTGGTCCCATCATCACTATGTTTTTGTCTTCACCATATGTGTCAGTAATATGCCATTGAATTTGTTTGCTAATGGCATACAATGGTTGATACATGACCACAACAGGAGTCTGTCCAGGGTATTGAGGTATTCCACTGAGTTCTTTATGACTTTCATTGAGTTCAACATCATTGCTGGCGAATGTGCAGTTTCGTGGAAGCGTAGTAGTAATGATGTATTAGCCAATGGTCTAGAGAAAGATGGTTGTATTGATGCATTGTATGCAGACCATGAAACATAATCACAATCTTCGAGATTCTCTTTCTTCAAAAGCTCATCCACTCTTTCTAGCCATCTATAGTCTAATTTTCGGACCTCTATAACAAGATTTGGTTGGGGTTTTACTGGACCATCAACCATAGGTGCATATTGGTTCCCCTTTGCAAGAAAGACGGGTTGTACATCATTATATGATCCTGGAAGCTACGACACTCCTTTATGTTTTATTAAATCTGAGTTTATGACAACAAATTGGCTGTCTATTCCCTGTGATGTTTGGCTTGGATGCTGGGTAAGAGAGATGGCTGTCCCATGAAATGAGTCCTTAGATGTGCGTGAACTAGGATTATGATCAATATTATCTGTTTTCTCCAGTTGTGAATATCTGCTTTTTTAGTTTTGGTGGACATACCACTAATTCAGTTTCATGCAAGGCGCATACACTATTGCCCATGTCAGCTAATATCTGAAGAACTCATAAGAAATTGATAGTTCTAGTCTATGAAGCTTATCCACGAGAGTTCTCTTAGGAGTTTTAACAAGAACAATTAATGCAAGATAAATGGCTAGAGGTGTTTCCTTGTCCGTAGGATGCCTGGCCTGTGTACTATGAGATCTCACTCTATTAACAGCATTGAAAATGATTAGTTGAGACAATGTTAAAGCCGCATAAACTTTCTCGTTGCCTATCTGATTGTGTATGTCAGGTCCTTTCAATATCATATTTATAAGTAATGTGTCAGACACATTATGTTGACACTCCGGGTCAAATGAGCCATCAAAGCATTTCTGTTTCTTGAGTATCTCCCTCCTCACTATAGTAGTAGCCTTTGATAAATACATGGCTTCTGTTTGCGAATTGCAAAGCTGTGCCAATGTCTCCTTCAAAAGCAAGCATGACTTCTCTACCTTCTATATATGCTCTGAAAACAGTCGCTCCTTCAGTCTTGAAGAGTTAACTCTGATAGGAACATAAGCCCCATTCTGTTCCAATCTTGAAGTATACAGTCTCACCAAGTCTGATAACCTGAATATGCAAGTGGTGTCTTCCCCATCAGTTCTAGTTTCCTACTTTCCATTGCAAGTGCGCCTAGCTCGGTTGTACAAAAACACCAGATATTTCAAATGGTAGTTAGCATCTAATGCATGCATGCCACCAGCAGCTAATTTAGCCAATAACTGTCTGTCTCCTAGTTCTGTGGCACACTATTTTACCTTGTGGTCCAAGTCAAGAGTACATGCTCGATGTAGGGATCCTCCAGGTTCGTCACAGAAAAAACACACTCAGTTTGTTGTATCCCTATTTCCACTAGAAACCCAGGGTTTGCATGTGCTACAACACTTTCACTTAGTTTTCGTTTTTGTGCTCATTGGAGCTTGAGGGTGCTACAATTATTGTAGCATGACTTGTGCCATTTTGCATCATTTCTTCTCAAGGTAGCCTCAATTCCTTGACCTTCATCAAGTTTAGCTATATTAATGTTCATAGGTACATTTCCTAATTTTTGAAAACCAGACAAATTCTCAGACAGTGTATGGCATCCTGAACCTTGCTTATTTGCGGTTAGACTGACAAACTTTTCATCTGACTGTTTTTGGCACAAGACACATAAATTCTACTGGATGGAGCTATCTTGACTATTTCGCTGGCTACTTGTACTTGGACAGGAGTCTAGTTCCATTTTACTCTCCAGTTATGTAGTAATATCTAACTTAAAATGTATCTCCACCTACAAGTAAAATGATTTCATAACTATTGTGCAAATTCTACAAGAATGTTAGTATAAACTATAAAACTTGTGAAAAAAATCAACACCTAAAGAATATTTACTCACCAACACATGAATAGTGGAAGTGATCAATGAGGTGGTACTCGGAGAATATACCAAATTATTTGTTATGGTACAATATACATGTACATGGAATACTTCTGGACTAAATCTGTTCAACCAACTAATGTCCTGCAGTGCATTAAAGTTCTTGTTTTACTGGGTTTTCCTGATCCGTCTGATAACATGGAGATTACAACGCAAACCTGTTTTTCCAGAGGAACTAAGCGCATGCGCAGTTTCTTCTGGCAACTGAGGGCGCTAATATTAAATAGTGACAAGCTAAGATGACGCAATCAACGGTAGAACTGAATGCTATTGATGCATGACATCATTTTTTGGAACAACCACGATTGCGTTTTCATTTAAATATGTTTACATTTATTATTATTCACTATATATGCATGTAGTAATTCAAGATGTTATTGTCCAACATGCTTATCTATTGACTTTGTGTCAAAAAAACGTTAGTTAATTTCTAGATGCTTTATTACATTTAGGTTATTTTTGTCTTTCAAAATGATTTTTTCACGGAACTTTTATTTGCACTCCAATGCACCCCTACCTGGGTCGCATTTTTATACAAATCTGCATTTACAGATGAAGTCTCTAAGTTTACAAATGAAATTTATAACACTTGAACAAAAAAAAAACACGTTTTATTTGTTATTCTCCACATTTTACCCCCAAACCCAGAGGAGAGTCATATGCACTACCACATCAAAATGCATGTATGTAACGATCTCACTTACAATTCTTTGAGAATCACACAAATCTAATGGAAAAAAGGAATTAATTTTTTTTTTCCGCCCTCCTCAAAAAAATTGCCTTATAAAAACTCAAGAAACAAGGAATAAAAAAAGTCTGGCCTTACCCATCTATGAGGTATTAGTATATGTATCGCTGCACTTAATGCTATGCACGTCAATAGAATTATTTACCGTGGCTCAGACTGTTATGGCGCCACAGGCTCATGTGATAACGAATATTTTATTCACTTGGTGTTTAACTTGTAAAAAAAGCGAGAATTATTTGTCCATTTCTGTCAACATTTATATGTAGGATAAATCGATATACCTTGTGAAAACATCTTGAATTTT